GAGAGACAGAGAGAGAGAGATGGAAAGTGAGAAAGCAAGCCACCAGGTCCAAGACTGAAACTGCAGTTGGCCATACCTTCAGCACTACACCACCTGCCGGCCCCAAGCACTGCACTGTTAACACAGAGTACGGGAATGGGCATGTTGCAGATTCGGAGATAGATGGAATGAAGTAAAGGAATGAACTCCTTATGAACAACTTATCACATATTTATAAAATAGTGTAAGGGGATTTCTATGTGGCTCTTTCTCTAAAAATGAAATTCTGATTCAAAACACCAGACCTGAATGTAAAACTCAAGTAGAGGACATCACGAACGAACCAAGTTTTGTTTGTTGGTCTGTTTGATTTTTTAGGTTTTTGCCATAAGGCACATGCACTCACCAGAGGCAGGCAGACAGACAGAGGAAAAGCGAGAAATCATCCTCTAAAGGGATGGCCATGTCATAACCCCTTCTCCATTCTCCTCTCAGGATTTTGTACACGTATGCACATGTGCCCAGTGTGACTTTTCAAGCCGCCCAGTCCAGAACTCAAACTACAGTCAGCCGTGTGAAAGTCTAGAGCTTTAACCACCATGCAACTTGCAGGCCCATTCCTAACTAAGTTGGTTTTTTATAAATAATTATTTATTTTTAATTTTATTTATTCATTCATTTATTTTAATTTGAAAAGAAACAGATTTATATATATATATATATATATATATAAAGAGAGAGAGAGAGAAGGAAAGTGAGAAAGCAAGCCACCAGGTCCAGAACTGTGGTCGGCCACGTGGGAGTGTTCAGCGCTTTACCAACCATGCCACCTGCTGATCCCCCTAACTAAGTTTTAATGCTTGTCTAGGAAGTCACACCATCAAAGCCTGGAAATTCAGAGAAGGTCGAGACCATTAGCAGAGGAATCTGAGCAGCTGTGATGCAGCCATGAGGCTGGCTCTGGGCCAGGAGGAGGGTGAACTCCCAAGGAGGACCCGTGGGTTGTGCCATAGACTCAGAAACTTATTTCCCTTGGACATGCATTTTGAGAGTTATCATGTAGTTGCAGGTCTTTTTAGCTTTTGTTTGTGGTTGGCCCTACATACGTGAAAGACTTGTAGAGTTAACTACAAATATGAGAATACATTTCATTAAGTACCAACCACACGATTCATCTTGAATAGGAGAGATACGAATAGGAAATAAACAATAGCCATTCAGGACCGACTTATCTAAATATTTTCCCATTGAAGAATGGCAGGATGGTACTTGACAACATGTATCTTTATTGTTAATTTGAAGCTATCTTTTAAATGACATAAAGCTGTATTTGCAATGTCTCCTAATTTCTCAGATTGAGAATAGTCCTAAATAGAAGAAAATCTTTTGAAGCTTAAGAAACATACAGTTGTTCCGCCGCTTTCATGTTTCCAGTATTCCCATTTTCCTCCTTGAAAGCCAAAGAGCGGCTCAGGGGTTGGGGCACCAAGCAACCTTTGACTCTACGTTTTGTCTTCAAGCACCAAAGGAAACGATGAAACATGCAGACAGGAGGTGCTGACAGGAGACGGGCCTGCTGGCTGGTCTCACATCCTGTCCACAGGCGTGCAGGGAGTAGGAATCTACAGGCCAAGAACCCACGAAAAGGAAAGGCTCCTCCAGACACGGGGACCCAGACTGTGAGGCCCCTCCCTGCCTGTTTGCTTGAGTCCCCCTTCCCCGGGGAGAGCTCTGGAAACCAGGCCGTCTTCCAGCTGGGGTACCTCGGGCTTCCTTTCTGCAGCCGTGCTTCCTCCCACTTCTCTGCCAAGGTGGGAAGAGTAGACCAATGTGTCTGCCTCCCTTCCCCATTTTTGTTTATTGTTTTGAGCAAGAAAACATCTAGCAAACACCTAGCCTGAAAATGTTCTTTGCAGGGTGGTTTAGGTAGCATAACTCAGGACTCCAAATATCCAAATATTAGAAATCTGATTACTACGGAAGTGTTATCCATACAATAGACTAACAATTTATTCAGAAACATTGGCTGCAGCTGAAAAGGCTGTGAGCAAGGAGGAATGTCAGGGTGAATGGACTGCTCCAGCTCCTGAGTTTACTGCTGCTCAGCCTGAGGTCGCAGACTGGTCTGAAGGCGTGCAGGTGCCCTCTGTGCCCACCCAGCAGCTCCCTACTGAAGACTGGAGTGCTCAGCTTGCCACTGAAGACCGGTCTGCAGCCCCCACTGCTCAGGCCACTGAACGGGTGGGAACAACCACTGGATCTTAAGTCTGCTCTTCAGACTCTTATACAAAGTGGAAATAGGGTTGATAAGGAAAATAAACAACAGTTTATAAAAAATAAGAAAAAACCTTTTGACTCTCTGAGTAGCACCATGGTGGTTGGCAAGAATAAGCGCCTTAAGAAAGGTGGCAAAAAGGGAGCCAAGAAGAAAGTGGTTGATCCATTTTCCAAAAAAGATTGGTATGACGTGAAAGCACCTGCTATGTTCGACAGAAGAAATATTGGGAAGACACTGGTTACCAGGACTCAAGGAACCAAAATTGTATCCGACGGCCTTAAGGGCCGTGTGTTTGAAGTGAGTCTTGCAGATCTGCAGAAATTCAAGCTAATTACTGAGGACGTTCAGGGCAAAAACTGCCTAAACTTCCATGGCATGGACTTCACCTGTGACAAAATGTGTTCCATGGTCAAAAAATGGCAGATGATGACTGAAGCTCATGTTGATGTCAAGACTACCGGTAGCTATTTGCTTTGTCTCTTCTATGTTGGGTTTACTAAACAAGGCAACCATCAGATAGGAGGGCCTCTTATGCCCAGCATCAGCAGGTCCGCCAAATCCGGAAGATGATAGAAATCTTGACCCGGGAGGTGCAGACAAATGACTTGAAAGAAGTGGTCAATAAACTGATTCCAGACAGCATTGGAAAAGACGGAGAGAAGGTCTGCCAGTCCATCTACCCTCTCCATGACGTCTTCGTCAGCAAAGGCAAAATGCTGAAGAAGCCCACGTTTGAATTGGGAAAACCCATGGAGCTTCACGGTGAAGGTAGCAGCTCTGGAAAAGCTACTGGAGATGAGACAGGCGCCAAAGTTGAACGAGCTGATGGATATGGACCCCCAGGCCAAAAATCTGTTTAAAGTTCAGACTTTTAACAGTGACAAATAAAAAGTCCTATTTGTGACAAAAATATAAATGAATTAATTAATTAAAAATAAATTAAAAATTGAAGACTGTGAAGACTACTTCAAGGGAAACAGAATATGAACTAACCAGCAGTCTTGCCACACAAATATAAAGATAAATATACAGGTAGCATGGGATGGGACGAGAGAATGAGCATTAAAACGTATTGCCAGGTGATGGCTTCGACAAGGATCGCTGTTTCATCCACTGTGGACTAGGAACCCAGCGCCCATATTATGAAGACAGAGGAGAACCGTGAAGACGGGATCACAGAGGTCTCTCAGCAGAGCACAGCAGACTACAGGGGCTGTCCAGATGCTGAGCTGGGGCCAGGTCCCAGGGAAGATGTCGACCCTGGCTAAGAAGGGAGCTGCTGACAGAGGTGAGGGTGAGAGGTTTCTGAGAGGAGTGAGCAGATGGTACCGACCAGAGCTGACAGGCGAGCAGCCCCAACCTCTGCGGCCAGGGGCAGGTGCACGCAGACCCCTGCAGGCACAGCATGCTCCCCAGAACCTGCTGCGCACCTGCAGCTGGGCCAGGCTAGGGCCTGTAACTCCCTAGGGCCTATAATCTCCTAGTTTTCATACCTTAAATAAGTCATAGAGTTCCTCCAGGTCTTCAGGAAGAATTGAGACTTCTGGGATAACAACACGGAGCTTAAGAAAAGAGTAAAGCACAATGGAGTGAATGTAGGCCTGACCCCGGGGTACGCGGTCAGAGGACAGAGGGGACCCTCCCTCCTAGGGTGCCTTGCCCCTGCTTCTTCTACGCGATGGCTCCTTGTCCACCCAAGAGCATCTGGTCCTTTCTGACATAAAGATCGCTTTACAGTATCATTCTCAGGGGTTTTATCCTCAGCCTCTCCCCAAGTCACACTGAAGTGCTGACCAAAGATAGCAAATCGTAACGGCAGTTAAACACAGATATAGCCAAACAGGAAGTGCCTTCCAAAAAACAACTTCCTTATTGCAGGCCATCTGCACTAGGCATTTGATATACCATATCTCATTCGTTATCCCCGTTTTACAACTAGGGAAACTGAGGCTCGCAGTGGATCATCTGCTCTCTGTCTGACTCCAAAACCCATCCTGTTCCTACACTGTCTCTCCCCAATTACGTTTTTAAATCAATGCAAAAAAAAAGAGAAAGAAAAAGCTGGTGTTCTTATGTGACCCAAGGGGACACTCACTCCTCTCCTGGTCAGCTCCGCCCCCCTCCACCCACACCCTGGAGCACCCTCGCGAGGCATCCTCTGCTCACCACATTCTGCTTTGTGGTGTCCTCGTGGCCCTGCAGCACCCGGATCCTGTGCTTACAGCGTAGATGCTCAATCTGCTCCACAGACTGGTCTCCGAATTTCTGCAAGGAAATAGGGGAACACTCACTGAAAGGGCCTAGGTGCACCCTAGCAGAGGAAGCAGGAAGTAGCCAGAAACCCTACCCCCGGGTCTATCTCCAAGGCCCCCTTCTGAGGGGACAGGGGGCAGGGGATGGGGCAGCCACCTCACCTCATAGGAGTCCCGGATCAGGTCAGCAATGTCAGTCACAGGGTAGGGTTCCTGGTCATCTGAGAAAAAGGCATGGTGACTGCCCATGGGGGGGCCTGGGCTCTCCTCATTCTTAATGTGATCTAGAAACCTGAGCACACACCCAGTTAAAGCCAGGGCTGTCCTCTGGGTACCACAGCACCCCACCCCTCCACCACCATCAGACCTACCAGGGCATTTTCAACCACCACACAACACAGGGGAAGGGGCGGGCAGCTACTGTGCTCGTTTCAGAGAGGGGAGAGGTGCCCATACAGCCAGGCTGGTGAAGCTATAGGTTTCTGGGGGCCTGAGACTCTCCAGGGACTAAGCACAACACTCTGTGCATATGTGCAATTTTAAGTTTCCATAATATTCTGAAAGGAAAACATCTTTTAAAATGTCATCCAATCTGCTCCCAGCTAGCAATCTGGTTCTAGTATGACTTTTTTTTTTCATGCAAGCTCACCAAACTCTATATGTAAAATGTCTGAAACCTCCGGCTGGCACCAGAGCCCACTTTTCCCATGTCTCTCCACCCTCATCCAAGCCACCGTAAGTCCATCTGGACTCATGACATTGAATCTTCTTAGAGAAAAGCATTCATGGCCATCCTCTTTCTAGATTCTCACTTGGTGGAAAAATGTAAGAGATGGTGGAATTTTTCACCCCATGCTGCTGACAAAGCCACATGGCAGGCTGGCTCTGTGCCACAGGGTGACAGGTAGGAAGTGGCAGAGTAGAAAGAAAAAACATCCACAGCTAGGGGATGCAGCACCTGCTGCCGCCCTCCATCCCCAGCCAGCCACAGGAGCCAGTGTCAGGCCCACCTGCTCAGGATCATCAGGGCCTGGCCATCGTCCTTGCTGCTGCACAGCTCCTCAGCATTGGCTTCAAGCACAGCCAGCCCCAGCTGGAAGATGGCTTTGATCCCATCATAGAAGAAACAATCTACAACATTCACTGCACTCTCCAGAGGCATGATGCTAAGGAAGAGAGTCAGGAACCAGGAGAGAGAAATGGAAGCCAGGGCTGAGAGGTCATTCATGTGCTCTGCCAATTCTGGGAGGTGCTCCTTGATGAGCTCTTCAAAGACAGACTGGTCCACTTGAGCCCCTGGAAAAGAAGGCATGAGGCTGTGGTTAGGAAGGATTCACATCACTAAAGTTAGCCTGAAATTAACATTACAGACATCTGCCACAAAACAACATTGTAATCAATAATGGACCACATATACTGACAGTGGTCTCCTGAGATTATAATAGGCTGTCTCATCTAGCCCATTACTATATTGCATTAGCTTGAGTGGGCATTCTATGATGTTCATACTATAAATTCACCCAACAATATATTTCTCAGAATGTACTCCTGCTGTTAAGTGACACCTGACCATTCGCTGTGAGAACCAAATCAAGAAAACAGGATTTGAGTCCAAGAAAGGGCCCACATTTAACTGACTTTTGACATTCTGACAAAAGTAATTCAATGGGTTAAGAATCATCTTTTTAAAAAATAGTGTTTGATTAACAAGACAGCCACATTTTTGTGGTGGTGGGAAAAGAACCTCAATCCCTCCCTCACACCATACAGAAAAATGTATTTGAAATGTATCATAGAACCAAATATATAAGTAATATTATGCAATTTTTAGAAGAAAAAGCAAAGAAAGGCAAAATTCTCCTAGGACACAAAAAGTACTAGCCATAGAAAAATCTGTAAGCTAGACTTCATTGAACTAAAGACTGCTGTTCTTTAAAAGATACCATTAACAAAACAAAAATGCAAATATGAAACCAGAGAAAATATTAGTAATACATATGCCTAACAAAGGTCTTGAATCCAAAATAAGGACTCCTTCAACTTGATAAGGCAGCAAGTGGACCAGCCCTGTTCTTTTTTAGTGATTATAAGGGAGCCAAATCTCACATGGTCAACCATGGTTCAAAATCCTGACCCAAGCAGCTTAAAAATACATGCTAAGCAGAAGAGATAGAAGGTAGGAGCTGCTGTCTCACATGTGCTGATATCATTCTACTCCTCACCCATCCAAGAACAACAGGGAGGCCCAAGCTGCTCAGCTTGAGCTCATCAGGGTCCCCCACTCAGCCTGCTATGGGGGAGGAGGGGCTACTCCAGCCTTGCTCCAGCTTCCAAGAACCAGCACCTAGTTCCTGCAATCCCAGAGACAAAAGAGATAGAAAAAGTAATAGGGAGGCCCAAGCCATTTGGCTTGAACTCCTCAGGGACGCCCACCCAACCTGCTCTGGGGGAGGGGCTACTCCAGCTCACACAGCACAGAGTGCTGCGTAATGTTGTCCACTGCCTCACATTACACCTATCCAGCTGAACCTTCATCTACATTGGGAGCAGAAAAGGTTGGGTATACAGAACCAAACACCTGGAAATAGAAGACTTTGGAGGAATTTTTTCCCTATAACTCCCTTAGCAGTAAAAGGAGAGAAACTCCCCTCTGAAAACCTGAACCCAATGTTTCAGAGGGGAATTTCTAGAAAGAAAAATTTATAATGGTTATAAATCATAATTTACAAGAAATTATATGTTTAGAGAGATTGTTGCTATAGGGCACGTGTGCTTGCTAGAGAGACAGAGAAAGACAGAAAGTGAGTAATTACCCCCTGGGGGGTGTCATGTGGCAATCCCTTCTCCCGTCTCCTCTCAGGATCTTGAGCAAGCATGCACATGTGCCTGGTGTGAGTTTTAAGCTGCCAGGTCCAGGACTGAAAACATGGTCAACTATGTGGGAGCCCAGTGACGGTCCCAAATTACAAGAAATATTTTTAAAAAATAAATAATAAGTAATAAAAAACATGCTGAGTATGAGTCTCTGCAGCCCCTAAATCCCAATGGGATAGAGAAATGGAGATGAAGGGACTGTAGCATGACCACACCTAATCTGAGGGTGCTTTCTCCCTTTCCCCCTCTCTAGTGACTGCATATGCCCTTGGGCAATTAAAAAAAAAAAAAATTCTGACAAAAGTAATTCAATGGGTTAAGAATCATCTTTTTAAAAAATAGTGTTTGATTAACAAGACAGCCACATTTTTGTGGTGGTGGGAAAAGAACCTCAATCCCTCCCTCACACCATACAGAAAAATGTATTTGAAATGTATCATAGAACCAAATATATAAGTAATATTATGCAATTTTTAGAAGAAAAAGCAAAGAAAGGCAAAATTCTCCTAGGACACAAAAAGTACTAGCCATAGAAAAATCTGTAAGCTAGACTTCATTGAACTAAAGACTGCTGTTCTTTAAAAGATACCATTAACAAAACAAAAATGCAAATATGAAACCAGAGAAAATATTAGTAATACATATGCCTAACAAAGGTCTTGAATCCAAAATAAGGACTCCTTCAACTTGATAAGGCAGCAAGTGGACCAGCCCTGTTCTTTTTTAGTGATTATAAGGGAGCCAAATCTCACATGGTCAACCATGGTTCAAAATCCTGACCCAAGCAGCTTAAAAATACATGCTAAGCAGAAGAGATAGAAGGTAGGAGCTGCTGTCTCACATGTGCTGATATCATTCTACTCCTCACCCATCCAAGAACAACAGGGAGGCCCAAGCTGCTCAGCTTGAGCTCATCAGGGTCCCCCACTCAGCCTGCTATGGGGGAGGAGGGGCTACTCCAGCCTTGCTCCAGCTTCCAAGAACCAGCACCTAGTTCCTGCAATCCCAGAGACAAAAGAGATAGAAAAAGTAATAGGGAGGCCCAAGCCATTTGGCTTGAACTCCTCAGGGACGCCCACCCAACCTGCTCTGGGGGAGGGGCTACTCCAGCTCACACAGCACAGAGTGCTGCGTAATGTTGTCCACTGCCTCACATTACACCTATCCAGCTGAACCTTCATCTACATTGGGAGCAGAAAAGGTTGGGTATACAGAACCAAACACCTGGAAATAGAAGACTTTGGAGGAATTTTTTCCCTATAACTCCCTTAGCAGTAAAAGGAGAGAAACTCCCCTCTGAAAACCTGAACCCAATGTTTCAGAGGGGAATTTCTAGAAAGAAAAATTTATAATGGTTATAAATCATAATTTACAAGAAATTATATGTTTAGAGAGATTGTTGCTATAGGGCACGTGTGCTTGCTAGAGAGACAGAGAAAGACAGAAAGTGAGTAATTACCCCCTGGGGGGTGTCATGTGGCAATCCCTTCTCCCGTCTCCTCTCAGGATCTTGAGCAAGCATGCACATGTGCCTGGTGTGAGTTTTAAGCTGCCAGGTCCAGGACTGAAAACATGGTCAACTATGTGGGAGCCCAGTGACGGTCCCAAATTACAAGAAATATTTTTAAAAAATAAATAATAAGTAATAAAAAACATGCTGAGTATGAGTCTCTGCAGCCCCTAAATCCCAATGGGATAGAGAAATGGAGATGAAGGGACTGTAGCATGACCACACCTAATCTGAGGGTGCTTTCTCCCTTTCCCCCTCTCTAGTGACTGCATATGCCCTTGGGCAATTAAAAAAAAAAAAAAGATGAAGAAGGTAATAAGTTTTTAAAGAATAGGTTGAAGACTTGAATAGAGGAGACCAGGAGATGGCATAATGGTTACATCACTGAACTTCTGCCTGGTTGACTGCAGTTCAAATCCTGAATCCAGTGGCTTAAAGCTCACACTGGGTGAATACATGCATGGCCAAGATCCAGAGAGGAAAATAGAGGAGAAGGGATAGCAGTGTGGCCATCCCCCATGGTGAGTGATTTCTCACTTTCTGTCTCTCTGTCTCTCTTTGTCTCTGGCGAGCACATGAACCCTATAGCAAAAAACTCTCTAAAACGTACAAAAAGAGAATAGACACTCAGATGATAAAATATGGTTAGTAAGCACAGAGATATAAGTTCGACATCATTAATCATCAGAAAAATGCAAATTAGGACAACCATGATATATGGCTACCCACTAGGAAGGCAAACATTAAATAGACAACACCAAATGTTAGCAAGGATGTAGAGCAACTGGAATGTTCATACATCGCTGGTGTCAGATATGTTAATACATTACATCCACTTTGGAAAGCTGACAGTTTCTTACTAAGTAAAAAAATACATCTAACCTGTGACTCTACAGTTCTCCTCCTAGGGAAATACTTAAGAAAACCAACTATATATATATATATATTATTTTTTTCCACAAAAAGATGTATGCGAGAGTCTTCAAAAAGTTCACAGAAAAATGGAATTAAGGCACAAATTAATTTTGGTGCAAAAAAAAATGAAATCCATGTATGTTTTTTTCTTAATATTCATTTTCCATGAGCTTTGTGAAGACTCCTCATATTCATATGAGCAAATTCAAGAGTCAGACCATGTTTGTGCAGACTATCTGAGTGACCCAGGAGGATTCTATAAACAGAACTAATGACAAATGTCTTGCCCAAATTCCTCAGAGAGAGGAGGAGGTTTACCGATCACCCGGTGGTTGAAGTAATCAGGCAGCATCCGCTCACACACTGCCACCAGCAACCAGAAGGCCTCCTCCTCTTTGGCATACAGCAGCAGCACAGAGGTCAGGATATTCATGGACTGCTCGGGGACACAGAGGAGAAACAGTTACTGACCAGGCCACAGGGTGTCAAGAGACATTAAAAATATAAGCCCTAAGCCAGCCAGTGGTGTGGTGGTTGAGGTGGCTGGATTCCACACAGCCGACTACACAGTGTGAGTCCCAGACCCAGTGACTTGAAAAACATCCTGGGAACATGTGTGTGCATGCCCAAAATCACAAGGGAAGAATGGAGGAAAAGGTATTGTGTATTGCCATGTCCCCTGAAGATTGCTTCCCCACTTTCCCCCTCTCTCCGTCTCGCTCTGGTGAGTGCACACACCCTATAACAACAACAACAAGAAAACAAGCCCAGGCCCAGCCGTGGTAGCACAGGTTGTAGGGTGCCACTGTGCTATGCTGGAGAAGAACAGGAGGCCCGAGTTCCGTTCCCAGACCAACCTGGCCAGGCAGAGTGCTGCACATCTGTAATCCTAGCTAACTGGGGGCAGGAAGAACATAGATGTGGCAAGACCTTGTCAAAAATACCTATCTTCCTCTTTCTCGCATAGAAAAATAAAATATAAAAAAGTAAAAAACTCACAAGCCCTAAAGATCCACAAAAGTGAAGATCTGTAAGTAAGAGAAGTAGTGAGCCCCAGCCACACTGATACCTGTGAGGTGGGATAACTGTGATAGAAGGTCCTCGCAAGATGTGCCTAGCTGGTGACTGGCCACCATTCCATCCCCGGCCCCAGTGAGGAGACACTGGATTCGGCTGCGATGCCTCGGGATGGGAAAGATCTGGCTCTTCTCCACATTTATATTTAGACGCACACACCTCTTGGTTCGCCCATTGATCGCGCTGCTTCTCAGGAAAACCAAGCTGCCCTCTTAAACTAGCGCAAGTCAGAAGATTCTCTAATCTAGTCTTGTGCTGGGTTTTTGCTGCTGTTGTATGACTTTACGGATTCTTGTTTTGTGCTTGTTGCCTACGTCCTTCAATTCAGGAATGGTTCAGAGCACATCCTGAAGGAGAACCATCTGCCCTAATCGTCTTTTCCTCCCCAAAGAGCGCTGCCACTTTGCCGTCCTCCTGCTATCTGGAGAGGTGCAGAGTTCTACTGCGTCCATCCTGCCGCTGAGCTCGAAGGCGCTCTGAGCACTGACTCCACATGCACACTGCTCCGGTGCTGGCTAGGGTTTTAAACCCCAAATTATCAGCCTGTTTGAACAAGGCAATTTCCTTTGGCTGCTATTCAACACCGCCTTTCAGGGAGAGACCGAGCCGGGCAGCTTCCCCCACGGTCCTCAGAACAGGTGGCTGAGAACAGAGCCCAGGCCCTCACCTGGCAGTATCCAATCTTGGGGTTGCGGTGGGCATAGGCGGTCAGGACCCTCCTCAGGGCAGCGATGCCCGTCTCGCTCTGAAAGGCGGGGTGCTCCGGCAGGGAGCGGTGCAGGTCCCGCTCTATCTCCTCTGTCACCAGGCAGCACTTCCCCAGGGACTCCTCCACCAGGTTCCCGTAGTAGCCGGGGTGCAAGGCGAGATCTGTCACTGCGCCTGAGGAGTTGAGAGTGAGATTTCAAGGGGTAGAGATCACCAGGGCAGTGTCACTACGGGGAAGGAGCTCGCTGCGTCAGAGGACCCCAGCGGGGCCTCATGACTCCTGGGACATAAAAATACTGCGAGACAAAAGGACTTCATTGCCACGTGGCCCGGTCCCAAAACAAAAAAGAAAGGGAGCAAAAGAAACAAGATAATGTGTCTAAGTGGGACTTACATAGAGCGGGCAAGTCCCTACGGGAAAGGACTTAGCAGTACGCCCGGAGTTAGCTGAGCCCCCAGGGTGTGGACACTTACGTACCCACACATGACTGTCATGCACTTATTCAACAAGACATTTTTCAAACCTATATTTGAAGCACATGACAAGGAACAAGTATGACTGAGCAAAGCTAGCAAACACTAAGAAGGCAACAAGCTGCCAACCCAAAACTCTGAGGGTCAGGGTCCAGACGCTCAAACCACGGCAGGACAATGCAGGACAGAAACCAGCCCCACTACAGCAAGGCGGGGCTCCGATGTAACATTCTGACTGGATGCAGTTAAAAGATGCCCCTCAGCTCTCCCGTCTGCAGTGACTGATGAGGATCCCTCGCTTTACTTGTTTTTGGTCAGGGGGCATGTGTGCTTGACAGAGAGGGAAGGTGGGAGAGAAAGCATCCTCGGTCGGGATGTGGTCACACATCCCTTCTCTGTTTCTCCACCCTGTCGAAATTCGGGGGACACATGCACACACACCTGGTGTCTCTTTCAAGCTGCTTAGGCTAGGAGTTGGACCACATGGTCATCCATAGGGGATCGGCTCCCTTAGCCACAGGGCCACCCCCATCACCTCTTACACAGTCGCCGTAGCATGCTTATGTAAGAGGCAGCGTTTACACTAAGGCTGTCCCTCGTGCCGCAGTTACTACAGCGTAAACACTACAGTCATCTTCCTGCGAGCAAAGGAGATGTTCTGTCACTAGGAAAAGAGAGCCCCATATGCACTGATGTCCCCAGATGAGAATGTAAGAATGTGGCCCCCAGGAAAACGTGCATCGCACAGTGGAGGGAACCAGGGCGCACAGGCATCTCCGTCAGGTGGTGGGATCGTGAGAAATGCAACCTTTGTTACTCCACGTGCTGTTTCTCAACTAGACATATAAACTGTTCTCATTCAATACACAAATACACAAGACGCTTTACATTTGAAAACAGGTGTTTTCAGTAGCATTGCTTTGGTAGGCAGCTGCAAACACAGGCGGGAAGCAGAGGGGTGGGTGACAGCACAGGGTATGAGGAGGGCAAAGGAGTGAGATGCCCCCACAAACAGCAGCCAAGCCCATGGCTACAGTGCCCAGGAAAATGGAAATCCAGGCCTGAGCATCTTGGGCGAGAGAGGGAGGATTATTTGGGGGAAAGACCAGGTCAAAGAGCAAAGAGGTAATGGGAGAAGGGCCGGCAAGAGGCTGACATGAGGGTGTGAAAGATTCCTGGTTCCTGCCCAGAAGAGTGAGTGGGGAGGGGACAGGTCCCCAGGCCCTGCCTCCATTGCCCAGCAGAGGAGACTGCTTATGTCAACGTGGAGAGACAGAGGAAGCCTACTCAGTGAAGTCATCTCCGTCCGAGGTTGGCATCCTGATGCCATCTGCTACCCAGCAGCCACAGAGTGAGGCCCACAAGGCCAACCCTGAGTGGGTCGAGTGGTGTGGAAGGAAGACACAGGGCAGAAGAGGAGTCTGCACTTCACCTCTGTGGATACCAGGTGTCTTCACAGGAGGGAGGACCAACAGACACTGCACTCCCATGATCTGTGATGCTGCTCGAAGTGGTCCTCCTCCTGTGTCTGCTCCCAGTGCAGAAGCTGGCCTGACGATACCAGAAATACTCACCTGAGAAAAGGAGCCAGAGTCTCCCACGTAAAGATTCCGGGATCCCCATGGCTACGAGCTTCCGGATCTTCTCTGTGCGAAACATACAGACGGTCTTGCCATATTCCACGAAGTGGTCATTCCACAGACTTATTTTTATCTGTTCTCTGGACTGGAAATGGGAAGAGTCTCAATGTACAAAGATGCTCATCCACACGTACCCATCCACAATCCCGAACAGGGCCAGCATTGCCTCTGTCAACAGACGCACCAGCAGTGACAGGTGACGGCCAGATTCGCAGCACTGTCACACCTCAGCACCCTGGACACTCAAGCCCTCTGTATGCAATGGCATAGAATCTGCACATGCCGAGCATATCCTCCTGGGTGTCTAAATCGCCTCTAGATTACTTATAACTCCTAGCAGGATATCAATGCTAAGTAGTTGTAATACTATATTTTAAAACTGTCTGACCTTGTATTGTATTTTGGTCTTTATTTTTCTAAATATTTTCAATCTGCAGTTGGTTGAAAACTCACATTTGCAATCTAGGGACATGAAGGGCCCACTAAATTTTGTGTATGTTTTTATGAGAGAGTACATCATGCACACGAGAGAGAAAAACACCCTGTAACAGGGTCTCATCATCCCAAGTCCCCATCCCCCAGACCTCCAGATCCTCAGGATCCTGAGTGACTGGCCTGCTGTGTTCTCAGGCTGACCTGGGGATCCCAGTCCCCCATAAGTCACCTGGCTTCCAGCACCACAGTTCAGTACACGACGAACTGCGACACCCAGGCTGGGCCCGGTTGCATTTCTGAATCTGCTGCACAGAGCAGGTGCAGAGGTGAATGACAGAGGTCCTGCCTTCCAGGAATGGAGAGCCCAGTGAACGCATTTGCACAAATAAAATGCAACTTCCACAGCAGGGTTGATTAAAACAAGAAATCTGTCCAAATACGAAAGCAGCCCAAATCAGACAGGAGGTGCAGCGGGATGGGGCGCCTGATCCAGCTGCTCAAACAGAGGTCAGCTCAGAAGGTAAAGGGAGGAAGGGGGCGTCAGTCTGTCCTGAGCTTCCTGACAGCCAGAGGGAAAAACGAAAACTGAAAAAAAATTACATTGTTCTCATTAGCAGAAATGAGGCATTCCTCAGGGCCAGCAGTTAGCATAATGGCTATGTCACTGGGCTCCCAAGTAGTTGACCGTGGTTCGAGTCCTGGACCTGGCGGCTTAAACTCACACTGGGCACATGCGTGTGCGCGCCCAAGATCCCAAGAGGAGAATGGAGAAGGGGCCGCAGCATGGCCATCCTTCTGGAGGATGATTTCTCGCTTTCTGTCTCTCTGGTAAGCACATGCATTCTATAGCAAAAATCTCTCTAAATAATAATAATAATAATAAAATAATAAGCAAGTCAATTAAATTATCCCTAGATGACAAGAACATTTTATGCCTTTTAAATGAACTATTTTTGTTTAATTTGCCAGAGGGCATGTACACTAGCCACAGAGAAAGAGAGAGATAAGAGAGGGAGATAGCATCCCCCATGGGGCATGGTCACACCGCAACCCCTTCTCCTCCACTTCTCTCACTCTTTGGCGTTTTTCAAGCTATCAGGTCTGGAACTGGAGCCACAAGCTCAGCCACGTGGGATCCAGCTCCCTTAACCGTCGGGCCACAGGCTGGCCCTAAACAAGCTATTTACACTTGTGTTTAATTATCTGTATTCTCCTGCTCATGCATTTCCTCAACAAGAGCTAACTGAGCTTCTGTGTGTGGGACACACTAGAAGGCCCAGACTATCTCCGATAAGTAAAGCAAACAACAGATTACGGAGGGCCTGAAGAGACCACCAAGCAGCTGGACCTTCACGGCCACCGCCTGGCACTCGCGCTGTGACTGGGCATCCCACTGTCATGGTTCCGCTTTACTTCAAAGTTCAATTATTTTTATATTTACATGATCATAAATGACATTGGATGCAAATTCTCCCCAAAAGAGGAAAACTATAAGTAAATATAAGAAGACTATTTTTAGTTCAGCAAACCTAGAACTGGACAACCCTTTGTCCCAAAAGACAGACAAACAACAAAAAAGAGGAATCTGACAATGAGGTATGCACAGGCAGACAGGAGAAAGCCTGAGTCTGTTCCTAGAACCCCAGGAACAGCCCCATGGTCCCTAGGCCACCAGCCCAGGGCAGCATGAGTGTTCCTGAAGGGGAGGGCAGGGACGGCCCTCATCAGCTCAATGGCCCGCCTTCATTTTCTGCCAGTGCGGAAGACGAGGGAGAGGACTGGCTTCCCATGCTTGCCTGGCAGCCTGAGCCCACCCCTTCCCTCTAAGACGAGGGAGAGGACTGGCTTCCCATGGCTGCCTGGCAGCCTGAGCCCACCCCTTCCCTCTGCACTCCTGAGACCCTGCTCAGCTGGTGCCAACAGGCACCGTGCCCCGCAGCAGCTGCGACCCCTGGGCACCCGCCCACCCCCGCCCTGCACCGGCCAGGGCACAGCTGCCCACCCACCATGCGGGAGTCAGGGCTCTGGCCACCCGCCTGCTGGAAGGCCACCATCAGGGCCTCGGGGGGCAGCTGCCGGCGCTTCTCTTTCCCACTTTCCTCGCTATTTTGAGAAGACACCATGTCAAGGTCCCCAAACTTGTGGTCGCTGCACATGCTTGTGGAAGGAAACACAGGTGACACCTGCACAGCAAAAGAGAGAGACAGAGAGAAAGTCACTGCTTTAACCAGGGACGGTCTGCCTTTGGACGAAAGAACGGAGCAGACGTAAACTACTAAAGAGAGGAAGAGACCAACGTTAGACCCAACGGGACATGATCCTCGGGAAGAAAAGGCCCGCATGGTCTCCCGGGGAGCTGCTGGTAGCGCACAGAGCCTGGGGCCATGCACAACTTCCAGTGTGCAGCTGCCCTGCAGCTGCTGGAACTGTGGCCACTTCTGGAGAAAACAGCTCCAGGGGACAGAGAGACTGCACTTTCTTGTCTTCTGGTACCTGCTTAGGGTGAGAAGAGGTCAAGAATAAGGAGGAAGGGAGGAAGGAGCAGATTAGGCCCCAACAGACCACGGTCCACTTCTGCAGCAGAACCACCTGCAGGCAGCGGAGCTCCTCGCTCAACAAGTCACCCCTGCTCCAATCTGAGGGGCAGGGGATTGGGGCCTCACACCTATGAGGAGGGTGACCTTGTCACCCCTAATCTGTGGGGGCACTCATCAATCCCTCTAACACATGTAGGGGCATCCTGTCAACCTCTGAACCTGGGAGTACCACCAACCCCTCCAGGTTATGGGGTGATTCCCATGGACCCTTCTATTCTGGCACATCCACTCAGGCCACCCAGTGTAGCAGAAATGGCACCAGAATGATGCCATTTGGCACCAGGCTAAGTAGTCTTTAATGCATTTTTCTCATCCTTGAGAAACCCACTTTATGTGACTCCCCTCTGGAGGCCACGAGGTGGTCTAGAGGTGGTGAAACGAGGTCATTTCAATTCACGGCATGCCACAGTTATGAAGGCACATACCATGTCGTCCTTTGGGGAGGAGTCATAATGCACGGGCTGGTTGGCGTGGACCTGCTTCAGCCGCATGAGCAGACTCTCCACCAAGCCGTCCCTGTCCTTGAGCTCGATGAACTGGAAGGCCATCTTGCTCCTGATGCTGACGATGATGGGGTTTGGCAGCAGGCTCGTGTCCTCCATCTTCTCAATGCTCACCACCTGTCACAAACGTGGCCACATGAAGGTGCAGGAAGAAAGGAGGCAGGCAGGCACTTAATCACATATTCAGGAAATTTCCCCAAAGACAAGGAAGAGCCAGAACTGGTGCAAAGGTTAAAAAGTACGCAAGGCAATAGCATCCACAGTCACCGAGAGAGAGAGCGGCCTAAGCTTCCATTGACCAGCGAGTGGCTAAGCAAAATGTGATCTACACATACAACGGGGTATTACTCGGCCTTACAAAGGAAGGAAATTATGACATTTACTACAATATTGAGAAATCTGAAGGATATTATGCTGAGCTAAACAAGCCAGACCCAAAAGGAAAAGATTGTATGAATCCACTTATACAAAGTCAAATAGAGTAGACAAATTCTCAGGAGCAGGAAGTAGAATGATGGTTACTGGGAACTAGGAGAAGGAAAGATGGGAAGTTTTGGTTTAGTGGGTATGGGGCTTCAGATTGGGAAGATGAGACTGTTCTGAAAACGGGTGGAGGTGATGATTACACACACATAGCAAATACACTTAACGCCACTGAGCTGTACACTGAGAACTGGATAAAGCCGGCCCACTCTGTGGTGCAGTAGTACTGCCCTGCTCAAGAGAAACTGGAAGCCACCACGTGGCAACTGCAGGTCAAATCCCTAACCTGGTCAAAATATGCAAGATCTGATGGGTTGGAAGACTAAAGGAAAGGAATCATGGTGTGAACAAACCGTGTTGCTCTATCATGAATAAAGAAAAAAAAATTGTAATGGATAAAATTTATGTCGTGTATATGTCACCAAAAAAAATGTTTTAAGTATGAAAGGCAGCTCCTGAATTTCTTGGTACACTGATAAATAACAGCGTAAAATAAAGACATCTGTGTATAATAATGACCTAGAGGTAGGTGATCACATGAGTGAGAGTTTTGAGTTTTTCCAGAGTGTGCTCAATATGTACGTTACAAGAGGCAAGAACCCTGAGGGCTCCATGTGTGAGAGCTGTGGGAGTTGTCGTGGGCCTGAAATCAAAGGATTAAAACCTGCTCCGATCTGGGAGGAAACTTAAGCTGCCCTCCATTTCCAAAAAGAGGAAGGTTTATAATCCAAACTAAAGGAAGCATTTCTTTTTACTTTTTCAGGAAAGTGCCAAGAGAGTATAAATGCTCAGTAATTGTGGCCATTTATTTTCAAAAGGTGATGCCTATTGTAGGTTGCCTTTTCTTTTTCTTTGATTGCGGGTGACGGGAAAATTCATTCCTCAAAGCTGTTGGGAAAGCTTTAATTGCTAGGCATGTACTTTTTAATAACAGCTTTACTTTAACCATGAGTGGAGGATAGAGTACCATATCTTCACCAGCCACTTCTAGGCAAATCTCAGGTTGCCATAGTAACAACAGAAAAGGACTGGCCAAAGTGGGGGGATGGTTCAATTCAGGCCATGCGTCCCTCAGGAAGCCCAGCAATCCAGATATTCATCTTCAGATGGCAAAGCCTTGTTGTGTGAACATGGCTTCTCCTGTCCCATCTCATAGCCAGCAACTGAAGGTGCAAATGACCCGAGGCTGCTTCAGAAAGCACACAGTAGGGCAGCAAAGGTAAAAAGCAGCATTTACCTCTCTGAGTGGAAGGATGACATTACAGCAGCCGTCTTCTCTGCTGGCAAAGCAGATATAGCTGTCAGAGGTAAACAGCCGCCCTGCAGTGTGACAGCGGCTGAATGGCGTCCAGAGGGAGCAATCCAGGACTGCGTGCAGCTTCTCCTTCCTCGGCAAGCGGAAGAAGGCCCGGAAAAACTCATTCTGTGCTCTGGCTTCGAGGTCCCTGGGCGAGAAGGGAGACAAAATAAGAAAAGCAGGAAAGGGGCCAGTAGGTGGCATGGTGGTTAAGCCACTAGACTCCCATGTGGCCGACCACATTTGAGTCCTGGACCTGGAGGCTTGAACATCACACTGGGCACATGTGTGTACATGTCCAAAATGCTGAGAGGAGAATGGAGGACAAGGAGTTGTGGTGCGGCCATCCTTTTTGGGGAGGAGAGGGTGATTTCTCTCTCTCTGACTTTCCTTCTGTCTCTCTCTGGCACGTGCACACACCCTATGGCAAAAACCTATAAACAAAACAAAGGAAGAGCAAGATACAAAGGAAAACACTTTTATACCCATAGGCACAGCTGATAGTTAAGGGAATGCAAGACGGCGCCATGCCCCTGCAGTGCCTTTGCACATGTGCATCGCACACTCCAGCGTCACAGCAAACGTCAGAACAAGCACTGAGGGCGGGCACCGCCACATGGAGGTCATTTAATAAGTTCCTGTGACCAAATACGCATCCTTTCTGCTATGAGTAACACTGAGAATCACCACAAGACAACTGCATCTGAACATGAAGTATGAGAAGTCCAATAGTAACAATTGTTGAGAAGAATGTGGGAACTCTGAGCCCCTCACTGCCGGTGGGAGCATAAAACAGTGCAGACACACTGGAGATAGTCTGGTTCCTCAGGAGGTTCGAACAGACTCACTGTTTGACCCCAAAATTCTGCTCCTGGCTGTACTAAATGAAAGACCCTCAAAGAGTTCACAGAAAGTGTGTATTGTGAAAAAACTATGCATGGGGTTCACATTTTTGTACCATAATAAAATATTACTTTAATTCTGTCATTCCATTAGCTTTCTGAAGTCTCTTCACATACCTAACAGACTTGAAAATCCGCTCAGAAACTTGTAAGCAAATGTTCACAACGGTATTATTCATGATGACCGAAATATGGAAAAAAATGTCCATCTACTGATAAATGGATAAAATATGGTATATCCATACAATGGAATATTAGTCAACCATGCATGAAACAAGCCAGACACAAAAAGACTAGACATTGCCTGGTTCCACTTACATGAAATGTCTAGAACAGACACCTCTATTGAGACAGAAATAGGGTAGTGATTGCTGAAGGCTTCAGAGAAATAAAAAAATAAGAGTGCTCGTAAGTACTAGGTTACTTTTTTGGGATAAAGAAATGTTCTAAAAATTGATTGTGATGAGGTTGTCCAATTCTGAGAATATAGTAAAAACCATGGAGGTACCCTTGAAAAGGGTAAATGATACGGAATGTGAATTAAATTTCAAGAGCTATTGAGAATGTAGATCTGGGCTGTCATGTAGGAAGTGTTCAATAAACATTAGCTATTATTATCTTTCCAAAAAACTGTTGAAGAATCCCAGTAAAGTACCACTGGAGAGAGGTCCCATCAGGATACATCAGAACTAATGACTGGGTCCAGCAGATGGTATAACGGTTATGTCACAGGACTCTCACATAATTGACCATGATTCTACCCTGGCCCACTGGCCAGGCGCACGTGCATGTGTGCCCAAAATCCCAAGAAGAAAATGGAGGAGAAGGGATTGCAGCATGGTCATCCCTCCTGGGAGGTGATTTCATGCTTTCTGTCTCTCTTCTCTCTGGCGAGCGCACGCACCCTATGGCAAAAATCTCTCTCTAAAAAAAAAAAAAAAATGTGTATATATATATACACACACACACATACATATAAAAGAACTGATCATAGAGAAGAGTGACAAGGAGAGAGGGAGCCCAAGGACGCCCTTTGCACTGATTTTTGGCTGTAAAACCTAGTAAAGCGAGAAGGCAGCCAAGTCCCAGTGTTTGGAAATCCTGGGGATTTACGTAGTATGCCAAAGATCTAGCAGAGAGGAAATTCCAACATACAGGGAGAAACGGTTTTCCTTTCACACATTAAGTAGGACAATATATGTGTATCTGCTAGAAGCAGTGCTTTGCTCAGTCAGGAACATCAGCTCTCAGCTTTCTTATTGTCTCTGTCATCCTGGATGAGCTCTTGGACCTCATTTTGACATCTGTAACATGGAAATAGTGCTTGACTTTCCAGCTGCAAGAGATCCTATGAATCTAAAATGACATGCGTAGCACTGCAGAAGAGAAAAAGGCAGAGGAGAAATAGCACCTACAGAGGCTAGAGGGCGGTGGAGTGTTAAAACACCATGGATGCGGGACCAGCAGTTAGCGTAACGGCTATGTCGCTGGACTCCCACGTAGTCGACCGCGGTTTGCGTCCCTGACCTGGTGGCTTAAAACTCACACCGGGCGCGTGTGCGTGCGTGCCCAAGATCCCGAGAGGAGAATGGAGGAGAAGGGACTGCGGCGTGGCCATCCCCCCTGGGGGGTGATTTCTCGCTTTCTGTCTCTATGTCTCTCTCTGTCTCTCTGGTGAGCGCATGCATCCTATGGCAAAAACCTCTCCAAAAAAAACCCACCATGGATGCTCTGGAGACCTACCCACGTGGGAAGGTTCCTAAGTTCCTGGTTCACGCCCAGAGAACTCCCTCAGTCTGCCAGTCACATGCGTGCCCATGATCCAGAGCTGGCTGAGGCTGGGGAACCATGGATGCTCTGGAGAGCTACCCACGTGGGAAGGTTCCTAAGTTCCTGGTTCATGCCCAGAGACCTCCCTCCTCAGTCTGTCAGTCACATGCGTGCCCATGATCCAGGGCTGGCTGACGCCCAGAGAACTCCCTCAGTCTGCCAGTCACATGCGTGCCCATGATCCAGAGCTGGCTGAGGCTGGGGATGGATTATGGCATCAAGAACTTGCTAGGGGTGCTGTCTCTGTCTCTCTCTCTGTCTTTGTCTGTCTCTCTTGCTCATAGAAAAAAATAAACAAAATAACAAAGAAAAATTAAATAGCATGAATAGGTCTGCCTGCAGTGGCACAGGCCACAGAGGCACTGCCGCCCGATGCCGAAGGCTGTATGAGAAGGTTCTGGGTTCACATCCCAAGTCTACTTCAACATAAAGGACACACGGGCATGCCCACGATCCTGGCTGGCTGGAGGGCTCTGGAGGATCAAGGCATGAAGACCCTGACAGGGAGGCCTCTCTTTCTCTTTAAGAAAATAAATGCATCAACTTAAAGGTGTGTGTGGGGTCGCATCTGCAGGATGATCCATTTACACAAATCCTTTAAAACTTTACAGAAAGAAACGTATATGCACAAGGGCTCTCTCTTAAACGTAAACAGTGGTTGCCTCTGTGTAGTGAGGTTTCCACTGTCTAGTTTCATTTTGTTTCAATTTTCTACATGACCAGCATCCACACATTCATCTTTTTAAAACTTAAGCTATTTTCCTTTGGGAAAATAACAGCTTTTCAAATGTCACCTAAGTGCAAGGTAGTAACCTGTGACTCTGGAGTCTGCACACGGCCTGGGCGATCTCTCTTCAGACACAATCCGGTTGTAGTTTCCCTGCAATACAACCTCACCAGGCAAGGCGTCAGTAAAGATGCCCCTACTAGGCCGAGTTTCACACAGTGATGACGCGGCCCACGGGATTTACTATCGCCCCCTCGTGGAGTGAAGATACATGCATGCCAGGGAAGTCGTCCGGGAGACAGGGAAATAATGCCAACTCTGTGGACACCATGCGCCTGGTTCCTGTGAGCGCGAGGGCCTGCGCTTTCTCCAGAGAACAGCTGGGAGAACACCAGGCAGGAAGCACCAAAAATGCTCTAAAAGTTCATGCGCTGCAAGACTGGAAGGCAGGGTCCCACAAAGGACCCCAAGTTCCCTGAGAGCTGACTCTGTCCAGTGCATTTAAATGGAAGATTTGCATTCCCATCCCCAGAGTGTTGGCCATGTGGTCTCTGGTTGAAGGGCGGTCACCACTTATGTCCTGTATGTATTTCACAAACATGGCTCAAGCTGCCAGGCACTTCACCTGCTGCCTTTCTTCCTGGAAGGACAGCTCCCTTGCCCCTTAGGGGATGGCCAAAGCCAGGGGGACTACATGGCAAGTAACGCAAGTCACAGCAGCTCGTGCTGAGCTGCAGCAGGGGCGGAGGACCTGCGTCCACATTTGTTTCATACCAACTTTCAAATAAAGAAGAAGGTGTTTAGGGGCCACCACTAAGAACAAGCGTGTCTCTATCCAGTACACCTGCTGCCCGAGCCAACAGCTCAGTGCCATCCGCAAGACGGCGCCATGCCCCTGCAGTGCCTGTGCACATGTGCATCGCACACTCTAGCGTCACAGCAAACGTCAGAACAAGCACTGAGGGCAGGCACCACCACATGGAGGTCATTTAATAAGTTCCTGTGACCAAATACGCATCCTTTCTGCTATGAGTAACACTGAGAATCACCACAAGACAACTGCATCTGAACATGAAGTATGAGAAGTCCAATAGTAACAATTGTTGAGAAGAATGTGGGAACTCTGAGCCCCTCACTGCCGGTGGGAGCATAAAACAGTGCAGACACACTGGAGATAGTCTGGTTCCTCAGGAGGTTCGAACAGACTCACTGTTTGACCCCAAAATTCTGCTCCTGGCTGTACTAAATGAAAGACCCTCAAAGAGTTCACAGAAAGTGTGTATTGTGAAAAAACTATGCATGGGGTTCACATTTTTGTACCATAATAAAATATTACTTTAATTCTGTCATTCCATTAGCTTTCTGAAGTCTCTTCACATACCTAACAGACTTGAAAATCCGCTCAGAAACTTGTAAGCAAATGTTCACAACGGTATTATTCATGATGACCGAAATATGGAAAAAAATGTCCATCTACTGATAAATGGATAAAATATGGTATATCCATACAATGGAATATTAGTCAACCATGCATGAAACAAGCCAGACACAAAAAGACTAGACATTGCCTGGTTCCACTTACATGAAATGTCTAGAACAGACACCTCTATTGAGACAGAAATAGGGTAGTGATTGCTGAAGGCTTCAGAGAAATAAAAAAATAAGAGTGCTCGTAAGTACTAGGTTACT